GGAGGGGTGATTTCTTGCTTTCTATCTCTCTGTCTATCTCTGTCTGGTGAGCGCACGCGCCCTGTAGCAAAAACCTCTCCAAAAAAAAAGAAAAAAAGAAAAGCTTTAAGGGCCAGCACAACCGTAGTGGTATACAAGCAGGAGGGCACTGCTATTAGTAGCTGAGGTCATGTGGTAGGTCTTGGTTTGACTCCAGGCCAACCTAAACAGGCAGGTCCTAGTTCATTGGGAGACGGGGCAGGAGAAACGTAACATAGTAAGACTTTGCCAAAAATAAGTACCTATCTCTCGCTCTATCATCTCTGTCATTAAAAAATAAAATAAAGTAGGGCCAGCTTGTGATGGTTACAGTGACTGGATCCCACATGACCAACTGGGGTTTAAATCCTGGACCCAGCAGCTTGAGAAACATTCTGGGCACGTGTTCATGCACTCCTCAAATCCTGAAAGTGGGAGAGATGACGGAGAGGGATTGCTGCCTGACCATTTCCTATGGGGGTGCTTTCTCACTTTCCATCTCTGTGTTGGTGTCTCTCTGGCTTATACATATGCCTTTGCAAATTAAAAAAAAAAAAAAGATACAGGGACATATAGGGCTCTTCAGGTCTGATGCCATTGTTCCCTTCCTAATGTTTCTATGGTTACTGACTTTACACTTTGGCCAGCTAGTCTCTTAATTATTTGTGAAATACCGAGTTTCCCATCCTTGGTCTTGTGATGCCTTCTCTGATAAGAGTGCTCTCCCCCTTCTTATTACCTGTTTAAATGCTTCATTCTTGAAGGCCCAACCCTGGGTCATCTGTTCCATAAAACCTTTTTTTATTTTTAATTTGCTAGAGGGTGCATGCATTCCCCAGAGAGAGACAAAGACAGAGATGGAAAGTGAGAAAATACCCCTCATGTGGGATAGTTACACCACAAACTCATCTCCTCCATTCTCCTTTCAGGATTTTGGACATGCTCACAAATGCAACTTGTAACTGGCATGTTTTTCAAGCTGCTGAATCTAGACTCTAACCCATGCAGTCAGCTATGTGGGATCCAGCTGCCTTAACCACCACATTGGTTCTCCATAAAACCTTTCTGACTACTATCGATGGAAATAATGGGAGCTCTAGAAAATAATTGAAACAGTTTATTCTAAACACTAGATTGAGTGGCCAGGCCCAGGAAAGTACAAAAGTGTTTTCTAGGGTGCTCAGATGCATCGCTTTTTTATTTAGTTATGAGAGCAGGTGACACTGACAAAGTTGCTAATCAGCATTGAGTCCTTGTATTGACTTTACTAAAAAAGGCAGGACATCTGAAAAGGGCAGGGAGAGTGAGAATTACAAGTGAGTTCAGAAATTTTAAAGTTCATAATTGGTTAAAAAAAAAAAGTCTTTGTTTTCAAAAGACTTAGATTCAGCAAAGGAATGCTTGTGTTTTACTTAAACAGAGGTAAGAAAGCTTTTACTGAGTATCATAAAACATTATGTCAGGGCCAGGAGTTAGGGAACATCCCATAGTCACTGGCCCAAGGCAGCCTGCTACAATAAGATTAATATTTAGACTTGACCCCCCCAGGCCCCTTAGAAAGTATCTTAGAATAAGGAAGGTAGTCAGAATTTCATCTTTACCCTTTTCGCTCTAGTGCCTATTTCTTTTCTTTTCTTTCCTAGCTTGTATTATCTTTTGACATCTATTCTTTTTTTTTTTGAGAGTTTTTTTTTTTTTTTTTTTTGCTATAAGGCACGTGCACTCGCCAGAAAGACAGAGAGAGACAGAGAGACAGAAAGCAAGAAATCACTTCCTGGGGGGGGATGGCTATGCCGCAATCCCTTCTCCTCCTTCTCCTCTCGGGATCTTGGGTATACACACAAAGGTGCCAAGGGGTGATTTCTTACTTTCTGTCTTACTGTCTCTCCAGTGAGCATACATACCGTATAGCAAAAAACTCTTTAAAAAAAAAAAAAGAAATGGGCTAATTAAACAAATAACTACTTAACTAATTGCGCTAAATGTTACAAAGGAAAGGTCTCCATTGGTTTGTTTATTCTAGCCATTTCATATAAATAGAGTAATATAACATGTAACACCAGGATTTATGCTAGTCTGAGCAGTCAGGAAGGTTTTCTTGACGATGTTACATGGCTAAGACCTAAAGAATGAGTAGGATTTAGGGGCCAGCAGCTGGTGTGGTGGCTAAGGTGCCAGATTCCCACATAGATGACCATGATTCGAGTCCCAGACTCAGCAGCTTGAAAATCACTCCTTGTGCATGTGTGCCTAATATTCCAAGAGGAGGAGTAGAAGGAATTGTGGTGTGGCCATCCTCTCTAAGAGGTGACTTCTCATTTTCCTTCTCTCTGTCTCTCTCCATCAAATACATGTGTCCTATGACAAAAACCTGAGGCGAAAACAAAGAATAGGGACTGGCTGGTGGTGTGGTGGGTAGGATGTGGACTCCCACATGACTGACTGACTGTGGTTCAGGCCCCAGACCTGGCAGCTTGCTTTCTCACTTTCTCTCTCTATGGTCAAAATAAAAAATAATAAGGGGCCAGCAGGTGATGTGGTGGTTAAGGGCACTGGACTCTCACAAGGCTGACTGCAGTTTGAGTCCTGGACTTGGCAGCTTACTTTCTCACTTTCCCTCGCGCTCTCTCTCACTCTGTCCCCCTCTGGTCCACTTTAAATAAATAAATAAATAAAATTAAATAACGTAATTCTTTAAAAATAATAATAAACACATAAAATTAAAGAAGTGATTCTTTAACAAAAGAACAAGCAGGATTTAGACATTAAAACATATTTCAGGCAGGGAGAAGAATATGTGCAAAGGCTGGGAGGGAGAGGAGCAATGGGGCTTGGATCAAGGGAGGGGGTGCAGAGAAGTAGTATGGGGATGAGAGCTGAGGAGATGGTAGCGTATTGGATTTACGTTTTAGGAGGTGACTACAGGGATCGTAAAACAGAGTTTCTTCTGGAAGAAGTTAGAGAATTGGGTTTAATAAAGCTCAACTGTGATCTAGAAGTACCTTCCAGTATAATATTTATTCTTTTAAAGGAACAATTAAGTGGTTTTTTTTAGTATATTCACAAAGTGATGTGACCATTATCACTATCTAATTCCAGAACATTTCATCACCCTAGAAAGAAACCCCTTAGCTATAAGCAGTCACTTCCCAATGCATCATTTCCCCTCCCTTGGCAACCATTAATCTACTTTCTGTCTCTATGGATTTGTTTATTCTAGTCATTTCATATTAATGGCATCATGCACTATGAGGTCTCCATGGATTTGTTTATTCTAGCCATTTCATATAAATGGAATCATATGTGAGGTGTTTCTTTTTTCTTTTTTTTTAAAGAGAGGGATTTTTGCTATAGGGCGCATACGCTCGCTGGAGAGACAGAGAGAGACAGGGAGACAAAGTGAGAAGTCGTCCCCCAAGGGGTATGGCCAGGCT